AAACCCACGCAGCCCACACACAGCTGACACATGTCACAGGAACCTTCACAAGCGCATCACATACAAAAGTGGACAGCCATCAGCAGACGGAGACACGGACACGTCACACACAAAGACATAGGGACAGACTACACTGAGAATGCATAGGCAGTCCAGCCTCTGGTTGGTACAGATTCGCCCAGCCACACAGGAATGTCCCAGCATCACACACACACACACACACACACCACAGAGCTCCAAACACAGGAGGTATCACAAAGATCCACACAGACCCTTTGGGACATGAGGAGGCATGCTGTCATAAACTGACATTCTGCATAGACAACAAAGAGCACATAGACATGACTAGCTCATACATCCAAAGACCCTTGCATGCATGCACAGACACAGGCTGGTCAGTCACATACGTGAACATACAGAAACAACACATGCATGTATGCAGGCACTGGGTATGCACATTGCTCACCCCTGGGACAAACGCACATCACATACACATATGCACATGAGAACATACAGTTCATAATGCAAAGCCACGCCGCTTATGCAAAAACACAAACACAGGACAGGGCACAAACATGCCCTGTGCAAAAAGTACAGTCACGAGTATTGCACACAAAGACACACCACCTACCGAAACAGACAGCGCGAGTGGACACACTCTTTAGACTTGTTACCCCACTGTAGCCTCACGTCACATACACCAACACACATGGGCACAAAAGATGCATAAGCGTAGTTTATTTCATGTATTTATTATTAGCAGGATTTATTCTGCGCCAGACGTTTCCGAGGTTTGGAGTATTACCTTTCGATCCTCACAACAGCCACCAAGACAGGTGCTTTTTCATGCCCAATGTACAGGTAAGGAAACCGAGGCACAGAGAGGGCCAGTCACCTGCCCCATGTACACAACCGGGCATTGACAGAGCTAAGGATGGGAACCAGGGACACCGACACATCAGACAAGACACACACACACACACACACACACACACACACACACACACACACACACATCACGTGCCAGGCTGCAGTCTCGGGGTCCCACCCCACCCGGCGGCACACAGAGCTGCAGACACACCCAGAAGCGCAGACTGCCGCCCTCGGCGAGGATGTCTCCATGGTCCAGGAATACCTGCGACTCGTCCCCTCAGTGAGGCTGGACGGGAGCTGCGCGCGCAGCACTGCTCCCTGGGGGCACTGGGAGGAGGGGAGGCCTCACAGGGGCTCACTGGAGAAACTGAGGCAGGATCGTTGTGGATGGAGGAGCAGCAAAGTACAGGGAATGGGGTTGGGGTGAACGAGGAGCGAGCACGCAAAGCTGCCCCCTGGCTGGAGAGCCAGGACCTAAAGGAAGAGAGGCTTATGGGGAGCTGTCGGGCTGCGCAGAGTCTTCTGGGAAATGCAGTCCAGCTGGGAGACTCGGGTTGCGCCGCCTGCGGGGATGAGCATGAGGGTGGCAGGCCGGGGGCATCTGCCACCAGTGATGAGGTCGGGGAGCTTGCTATTTGTTCTTAAGTTCGCTAAGAGCTGAGTTTATTACAGCACTCAGTGTGATTAGCTCAGCTGTGAGCCAGAAGTCAGGACTGCGGGAAGGGGCCGGCTGCGCCGCCTAGCTCTTCAATCCACCCAAGCTTGGTGTGGATTCGCTTTTTTGAGACAGGGTCTCATTGTGTACCCAAGCTCTCCTGGAACTCACTCTGGAACTCAGGACGGCCATGATCTTGCAACAGTCCTCTGGCCTCCGTCTCCTGAGTGCTGGGATCACAGGGGTGGTCCAAGCAACATTTTTTGAAAAAATTATTATTTAATAATATGCTATTAATATAACAATTCATTATCACCGGAATGAAGTAAGGTAGAGCCAGAAGAGTGCACTTACTTCAGAGAACATGCCAAGGGTATTCTTGAGGATGGGTTTGGTATCCAAACCCTAGGGCCGGGAAGCTTTGTGTCTCAATGCCGCCTGTCCCTGCCATGAGCGTCAAAACTGTTGAAACGGTGCCCTGACTTGAAAGCGTTTGGATATGTTGAGGCCACACCTGTGCGCCGTTCACCTGTGTGTTTAGGACATATTTTGTTCCTACCTTTATGATAAAACTTCGTTAGAGGGATGTGGTCAGTGTGTGTACGTTTTTGTGGCTTCCCTGTGCAGGCAAGTGTGGAGCCCAGAGACTGACCTCAGGTTTCCTCCTCCCTCACTCCTCACCTTCTTTGTTGAAACCAGAATTCATTGTTTCAGATGGACTGATAAGCAAACCCCCAGGCTTTGCTTGCCTCTGCGCTCTGCGCTGAGTTACAAGTGTGCTCTCAGGGCCCAGCTTTTCTGGGGGTGCTGAGGTCTGAATGTGGGTACTAATACTCACACAGGCAACACTTGACTCACTGAGGTACTTCCCCAGGCCCGAAACTAACTTTTTCTTTCTTTCTTCCTTTCTTTCTTTCTTTCTTTCTTTCTTTCTTTCTTTCTTTCTTTCTTTCTTTCTTCCTTCCTTCCTTCCTTCCTTCCTTCCTTCCTTCCTTTCTTTCTTCCTTTCTTTCTTATTGCAACTGTATTGATATGAGATCTCAGACCCAGCCAGACCTGTCATCCTGTTGCCTTGTTTATCTGGAGGCTGAGGTAAAAGGACCATGGGTCTAAGGCCAGTCTAAGAAGTGCATGGACAGCCTGCCACATGGAGAGTGTGGCTCAGTGGTAGTGTGTGCTCAGGAGTGTCAAGGACCTGGGTTCTATCCCCAGAACCACAAAACAAAACAAGCTGTAACTACTCACTTGTGTGTGTGTGTGTGTGGTTGGTTTGTTTGGATTTTTGTTTTGTCCGAGGGGAGGCTGAGACAGGACCTCACCATATAGCCCTGGAACTTGCTATGTAGACCAGGCTGGCCTCAAACTCAGAGTAATCCACCTGCCTCTGGATCCTGAATGCTGGGATTAAAGGCACAACACACTCAGCAATTCAGGTCCTTTGCAAGAACAGCAAGTGCTCTTAACCCCTGAGCCATCTCTCCAGCCCCACCTTCAAAAGTGGGGGTTTCACTTTTCAGGCTGACTTCACACTCTCGACAATCTTTTTCGCCTCTGCTCCCAAGTCCCAGGACTGCAAGTTTCAGCCATTATACCCAGTTTCTTTTTTGTTTGTTTGTTTGTGTGTTTGTTTTCAAGACAGGGTTTTTCTGTGTAACAGCTCTGGCTGTCCTGGAACTCACTCTGTAGCCTAGGCTGGCCTCAAACTCACAGAGATCCGCCTGCCTCTGCCTCCCGAGTTCTGAGATTAAAGATGGGTGTGCCGCCACCGCCCAGCTTACACCCAGTTTCTAAAGTAATGGCCAGGCACCAACATCCACACACCTTCACAAGACCCAGAGTGATAATCCTCAGGTCAACTGTCACACAAGTAGAAAGGACACTTCAAACAAAGCCAAACGAGAGAAGAAGGAAGACTAGTCTGGGAAGGAATCAGAGCAAGTGTCTTTGGGAAGTGATGGTAAGGCACAGATAGGAAATGGGAGGACAGAAGTGAGCAAAAGAAACCAGGACAAAGTACGCTGTCAGAGGGCACAACCCTGGGGGCAGAGCCAGCGTGTCCTGAGGTCAGTGGGAGGCTATGTGGCCACCTCTGAACTGCAGGAAGGTAGGAAGTGAGTGACGTCACAGGGTGCAGTGCGTGCAAGGTATTTATTTGTTTGGGTTGTTTCTCAGCCTCCTAGGAGCTATTGAAAAACACTGAGCTGGGAGGCCGGGGGCGGAAACTGGTTCTGGTGCGCCCACAGCCTGGGGAGTACCAAATGGCTGTAGAGAGTTGGCGTACAGGAAGGGAGACATGGGCTCAGCTGGCTGTGGCGGGCAGGGCAGATGAGCTTGAAGGTAAGTGATAACTGCTGCTGAAGCACAGCGCTGTATCCCCCACGTCGGAGGTTGGGACCTTCGAAGCCGCCTAGGAAACAACCAGCCGGTTACTCAGAGGGCTAAACACAGGCACCGTGGGGCCAGCTAGTCCACATGAAAACGTATTCTTGGGAGTCCTGGCAGCACACACTTGGAATCCTAGCACAGGATTCCTAGCGCGGGAGGTAAAGTAGGAGGAGCCTGAGTTCAAAGCCAGCCTGTGCTCCTGGGGCTTGGGTTTCCTTTCGTTTCCCTTCTTGTTTCGTTTATTTTTTGAGACAAGTCTCACTATGCGGCCCTGGCTGGCCTCACATTCAGAGATCTGCCTGCCTCTGCCTCCTGAGCCTGGGATTCAAGCCGTGCACCACACAAGACCTTTTGTTTTGAAAACAAAACAAAACAAACAAACAAACAAAAAACTAAAATCAAACCCCAAACCTTGTACTAGAATGTCCCCAGCAGCACCCCCCCCCAAAAAAAATATGGATCAACCCCAGGGCCTTTCAGCAGATAAATGGACAGACCAGATGTGGCCCAGTCACACAGTGGACCTTACTCCATGAAAAAGAGGGGCGCGCTGGTACCTGCTTGCGTATGATTAGGCCTTGAGTGAGCGAAGATGCTCAGCACAGCCCACACCGGACCCTACCTTCTCCTCCGTCACCACCTGACACACTGAATCCCTCCGTCCGCCATCTTGGTTTTGGCATGTGTACCCATCTGCAGTTTCCCATTCTGATCCTAGTACCTAAGAGCGTAGCACACAGTGCTCGACACATGTTTGCTAAAGGGAAGAACTTCTCATCATTTGCTGTGGGCCACTTTATTGCCTAACCAAGGCCACAACCTTCCTGTGGCTCAGTGGTGGGTGGTATCTCTGATTGTCCATTCCAAGGAAGAGGAAGGACAGAGGGTCTGGGGACACGAGGCGTGGTGGGTTGCACTGGACCAGGGTCCTTTGCAGAGGGTATTTTAGGGAGGATGAGGGTGACATTTAGGCTGCTGTATCCAGGAGCAGGGTAAGGTAAGAAGGATGGTCCAACTCATAACTCCAGGAAGTGAGAAACAGCTAGGGACATTTAGGAAACACCCACTGCCCCCAAACCTCACAGTGTTGTGGGGCATTCACTAGAGAAGACTGCCAGACATGGCTTTAAGCCAATAGAAAGTCTTTATTAACTGACCAGTGACTACTCTGGGAACTGCAGAAGCGAAAAGGCAAGGTTAGTCCATTTAGAGCCTTTCCCAGAACTATGGACTTCGGTGGATTAGGTCTTTGTTTTAATTTTGGCAGGTGGTGCTGTCTACATGCTGAATTTTACAGCCTGAATGTTGTTTCCATCATGGAATCTGTTGTGTTAAGGTCTGGGACCCTGTTACAACAGTCTTACCCGCACTCCCACATCTAATCCCACGGCTGGCTGTGCTTCCAAATATTCCCACAGTCTAAGTCTTTCATCACCTCTGTCCTCATCTTTGTTAGCTTGGGCTGTTGCAGTAGCCTCTTCACCCAGCTCATATCTGTCCCCAGCCCCATTGCAACAGCAGGTGTCTGTGGATCTGTCTGTGAATCTGTAAGTCAGTCAGTTCCTCCCAGCTCCCAATCCACCCACGGCTCTCACCTCACAAAAGGCCCGCAGTCCTCCGTCCATGCACAGAGCACTAAATCTCTTCCCATTTCCTGACCCACATCTGGTCTCCCCAACCCCCGCCACCCCCCAATCCAGCCCCGTTTCTGAACGCCCCAGAAAATTTGAACTCTTCGTGGTCCTCCGTGGCTGATGGCCATTTCAGTCAGTTCCTGGTGGCACTACCACAGCCTCTGCTGGCATCTGAGACGGTGACCCCACTCTTCAGGTGGAGCTCTGGAGAGTGCATTATCTCTATTGTGTCCAGTTCCTGGGTCTCCAGAACGGTCCAGTCGCTTTTGGCCTGCACATTCCCCTTACGAAGTCTGAGAAACACTGAGTGCAAGGAGAGAAGAGGTGACCCCAGAATGGGTCTCGGACCATCATTAACTCATTCATTCATCCATTCATCATGTACTTATTCATGATGACATCAGGTTTTGAGTATGTGTAAGCCCTGTAACGATTAAATTAGGGGAGTCAGCATATCCCTCACCTCAGACACTCAACCCTTGTTTGTGGTGAGAGCACTCTTTCCCACTGCTTTGAAAGATATTGTGCATGATCCTGACTGTGGTCACCCCATCCTACACAGTGTACCCAAACCTGCTCCTCCTGCTGACTCCCATTGGTTGCTCAACATCCATCCCCAGCCTCTGTGGCCACCATCCACCCTCTTTTCACGGTGCACCTGTGAGGTCATGCTTGTCTCTGTACCTGGCTCGTCCCACTCCACACTCAATGGCCTCTGGGCTGTGCTACCATGCTGCAGATGACAGCATTTCCTGTTTGTTTCAGGGCTGAATAGTGCTCTATTGTGCATGTCCTTTACAGTTTCACCCGCTGGATGCTCAGGCCTTCATGTGGACCCTGGACACCTCTTTTTTTCTTTGTTTGTTTGTTTGTTTGTTTGTTTGTTTGTTTGTTTTTTGAGACAGGGTTTTTCTGTGTAACTTTGCCCTTTCCTGGATCTTGCTCTGTAGCCCAGGCTGGCCTCGAACTCACAAAGATCTGCCTGGCTCTGCCTCCTGAGTGCTGGGATTAAAGGCATGCACCACCACCGCCGGGCAACCCTGGACACTTCTTGAGACCTGAGCTGCAGTGAGCAGGGTGGTAGACGCTCCTCCCAGCCTATGGCCCTGTCCTCAGGAGCTGAGGTCTGTTCACCTGGCTTCATCTAGCTGGAGAGGGGGTGTCCGTTTAGAACTGCCATCAGGTCTGAGGGCCAGACCTGCACCACCTACCCAGGCACCCTCTGTCAATTATTGTCTTTGTTTTTTCAGCAGTGGGGCTGCAGCTTAGGACCTTGCCTGTACTGGTGGGTTATAGACAAGGTCTCTAATGCCGAGCCATGCTTCCAGACCACCTTTAAGTGTTTATTTTGAGAAATCATCTCACCAGGTTGCCCAGGCTGCCCTTAAACCTCGATCCTCGTGCCTCTGCCTCCCAGTTGGTGGGATTTGAGCAGTAATACCCGAGAGAGGAAATGAAAGAATGCTGTTTACTCTTGTAGAGGACCTGGCTGGGTTCAGCTCCCAATATATTAAGCAGCTCATAACTGCCTGTAACTCCATCTCTAGGGGATTTGATGCTTCCAAGGCACCTGTACACACACACACACACACACACACACACACACACACACACACACACACACATTTAAGGAAAACTCAAAAGTATTTTTTAATTTAAGCAAAAGTATAAGAAATTGGTTGATAAAGCTGTAAATTTCTGAAATATCTTCTCAAGGTTGGTAAGATGGCTCCGACTGTCACCAATCTCTAGAATGATGGAAAGAGAAAGCTAACTCTTGCAAACTGAACTCTGACCTCCACCTTTGTGCCATGATTGAGTGTGCACACTCATGTAAAATGTAATTTGAAAGCCAGGCATGTTAGTGTGTACTGAAAGACCCTAGCCCTTCAGGTTTACACCCCTAAGCCTCAGGAAAGGAGAAACTTCAAGCACCAGGAAATGAGAAACCAAAAATCTAGTTCCAAGGGCAACCTGACTTAGCCATTGTTCAATCTCCCCTGCAACCATATAACAATGTAAAAAGATTTCTGCTAAGAGATGTGCTCAACTGTGACTGGGATAGTTGCAGGTGTTCCAGGAAGGACCACTGTGACCTTTGTGTAAACTCCACTCCCGCCCTGATATCCCCCCTTGAGGTTTCAGGAAAAATGTACCTATTGACGTAACTGTACCCCCTCTGTGATCACTCTGTAACCAGACCATGATCTTGTGAAACAAAATTGTATGGGAATTGTAATCTTGTGGGTTTTGTTGGTTTTTCCTTTATAAGCCCTTATGGGGCTGCAGTGAGATGCGGCTCTTGCTCTTAGGAGTAGAGTTTGCCCTTCTATATAGAAGCTTTAATAATAAAATCCTCATGCTGTTGTATCAGTCGGACTGGAGTCTGGGTTCTTGGGGCACCCACTTGAGACCCCAAATTTTGGGGTCCAACAGTACTATTAATCCCAGCACTCGAAAGGCAGAGGCAGGCAGATTTCTGAGTTCCAGGCCAGCCTGGTCTACAGAGGGAGTTCCAGGCAGCCAGGACTCTACGGAGAAACCCGGTCTCAAAAAAAAAAAAAAAAAAAGCACAATTTAAAAATAAAGTAAATGTGGAATATGTTCTCATGTATGTATGCTATATCTCAATAATAACCCTCAAAACTTTATTATCAGGGAAGAAAATTGTTCAAGAAGATAGCTGGGTAGAGACACTGTGGGAGAGCTTTTGCCCAGCATGCACCAGGCCGACTTCCATCCTCAGCATTACATAAACTAGATGAGATCCCAGCGCTTGGGACATGGAAACAGGAGGATCAGGAATGGAAGGGTATTCTCAGCTACACAGCAAGTTTGAGGCCAACCTGTCCAGTCTGGACAGGAAAGAGAAGGAGAGAGGACCAGAGCATTCTGGGTAAAGTTGGGGCGGTCTACATTGAGTCACAGCTGTGCCACCAAAGCTGTGTGACTTTGAGTAACTCTATTAGCCTCTCTGACACTCAGGGTTTTGCTCGTTTGTTTGATTTTTCCCTACCCCCCCCATCTCTCCACTTTATATCGTCTGTGAAAGGGAAGTGACAGCTGCCAGGCGGTCCCAGGGGTCACAGGAGTGAAGCAGCCTGCAGCCATCTCCGAGCAGATGTTCAGTAACGGCAGCCACTGTTCTTGCTGCAGGTGCAGCACTGCATGAAGATGTAGAGAATGCACCCAGGACAGTGGCACCCACCTGTAAACCCAAAACTTAGAAAGCTGGAGCAGGAAGATTCCCACAGGCTAGGAGCCAGTCTGAGCCACAAAGTGAGGCCCCTTCCTTCCTTCCTTCCTTCCTTCCTTCCTTCCTTCCTTCCTTCCTTCCTTCCTTCCATCTTTCCATCCTTCCTTCCTTCCTTCCTTCCTTCTGTCCTTCCAACACTCAGGCTGGCACAAGGACAAATACCCAGGAGCACAGCCCCCTGCCACAAGATGGTCGGTTTCATTGGTCAAACACATTGGACGTCCTCAGTGTTCACTGATGAACAAAGCTACTTAGTAACTGCCCAGGGGCCCTCCCGAGGCCACCCCTGTCCACAGAGGCAGACCTGACACAAGGGTGCCACATATGCAGCTGGTGTCAAGCTGTTTTAGGCCCCAGTGAGAGCAACGAATTGGGCATAAGGCAAAAATGTTGTGACTCCTTCCAGGATCACAAGAAGCACTTCATGAACTACGCTTCTGGGACCCTGATCTTTACCCAATGCAATGGGTAAAGATTATTTCTTTCCGCAATGCTGGGATCAAACCCAAGGTGTTACATGGGTAGGCAAGCGCTCTGCCCTGAACCACACCCCAGTCCATTCTTCCTCTCTCTCTCTGGCTTACAGTGCCGCACCTGTAATTCTTCATTTTGAGCAGAGAGTCTCGCTAAGTTACCTGGCCTACCCTTGAACTCCCATCTTCCCACTTCTGCGTCCCAATTGCTGAGGATTTGGGCAGCATCACCGCAAGGGGAATTAATTGTAAACAGGAGCTACAAGGACAGAATCTCAGGTCTGGTTTGGGACACTCCTGCTGACCAGTAAGGTGTGCTCTGGGGCCGTGGTTTAAAATAATAATAAGTGGCTAGCGTGCAGTCCCCATCTCTAATGCCAGCACGCAGGAGGTGGAAGCAGGCAGATCAGCTCAAGGCCATCCTTATACGTGCATAGCGAGCATGAGGTCAGCGTGGATTACATGAGACCTTGTCTCACAAAACCCAAAACCAACCAAAACGAAACAATCCGTATCAGCAGCCTTCATTCCTGGCTCTCCTGCCTCAGGCTGAAGGAGCCTGTGCTGCAGGCAGGATTCCTGGGACCCACAAACTTGGATAATAAACAATTGCCTGCTTTTCTCCCTGGCCTGCAGGTGAGGTTGCCCCTCATTGCCCCTTGCCTGAAAAGCCTTTCTGTTCCTAAGGCTGGCTGTATAGTTAGCACAGCCCCTTCCTCATGCCCTTTAGACCCGGCCCTTCCTATTGGGAGGTGAAGTTTACATCTTTGGCACTTTGAACCCAAGGCTCCTGTGATTATTAGGATTCAGCGGAAGTAATAAAAAGTCCTGATTGGGCTGGGTGTGGTGGCTCACGCTTGTAATCTCAGCTCTCTGAAGATGGAGCTGGGAGGGTCATCCTCTACTACGCAGTGAGTTTGAGGTCACTCACTGTGGCTGACATGAGGCCAAGTCATGCTTTGTTCTTTAGGGACCAGTCTTACTACTCAGTCTTCATGCTGTGAGGAAACCCAGGAATCCCCGAAAGAGGAAGCTTCCGCGGAGAGGAGTGAGGCCCCGCCCGAGCCTGGAGCTGTGAGCCAACACTGACTGAATCCCCAGCTTCCAGGGGAGAGCTGTAGCCACTGAGCTCTGCCCAGACTGCAGATGCCACAGCAGAATGAGTAGGTTGCAGTCAGGGTCACAGGTCCAGGAGGTACATAGTACCCAGCACTTGGTAATCCGCGGGGAAAGCAGTCACAATGCAGGCCAAAGGCCACAGCCCCAGTTACGTGACTAACACCAGTGACTTTATTCTGGATTTTCTTACTGTAATCACTCAAACCTCTGATATTTCCAGTCCTGTACTGGCTGCTGCAGATATCTGAAGTCCGGCTTAGCTTCCTCCTCATTTCAAAATAGTAGTTTACAGAAGAGCACGTCCACGTTTAGAAGTTAGTGCACAGAAGTTCAAACACTGGGGAAACGCCGCATCCTGTGCTCCTTTTGATAGTTGTGTTTCCTGAAGCTACTTTTGCAACTGGACAAGCTATTTATATTTATTAAATTTTGCAGTGTTAGGTGTGGAACCCAAGGTTTCAGGCAAGTTCTCTACTGCTGAGCCACATGCCCGCCAGCTCTCCGCTGTCAGGACAGCTCTGAGAAGGATTTAAAAATAGTGTGTATGGCGCCAGGAATAGTGGTGTGCACACCTTTAATCCCTGCACTCGGGAGGCAGAGGCAGGCGGATCTCTGAGTTCCAAGCCAGCCTGGTCTACAGAGCAAGTTCCAGGAAAGCCAGGGCTACATAGAGGAACCCTGTCTTGGAAGAAAAAGAAAAGAAAAAGGAAGGAAGGAAAGATGGAAGGAAGGAAGGAAGGAAAGATGGAAGGAAGGAAAGATGGAAGGAAGGAAGGAAGGAAAGATGGAAGGAAGGAAAGATGGAAGGAAGGAAGGAAGGAAGGAAGGAAGGA